GGTTTATTTCACACCTCAAACATTTAGTAAACAATTAAGCAAATGCAAGTAATCTGCAATAAATCACAGGTAGTAAGAAAATAAACTACTAACTATTTTACACTACGTCCACACTTTTGAAAATGCAGCTGTTTCGTCCACATAAACGGCGTTTGGAATCACCGAAAACTGAGATTTTTTAAACTCATTTTTTGCGTTTACGTGTGGACGAGAAATACAGAGTTGGTCGCGCAACGTCAAAGGTGCCTTTTTCACGTCACGCTGTGCGCACGTTATTGTTTTTTTTTACATGAGATGAATTGCAGAATGGCAGATAGAGACGAAATACTGTTAATCTGACTGATATTCAGGTTTTACATCCTTACACACGCAGTTACTGTCCCTCCATTTAGAAAGGCAGAGGCGTCACGGTGTGATTATTTTACGTGTAGTTTTTTTTTTTTCATGTGTAATAATATTCAACATTACTATCAATACACTTTTCAAAAAATGCCTCTCTGTGCAAAGTGGGTTTAAAAACATAAACAACTGTGGGATGCTGTTTGTCCGTGATTTGAACAGCCCAGCGCTGCTCCCGACGCAGGGAAAACCAATTCTGCTGGGGAGACCTACCTCTGCACTTGTGCAGGTGAAACCAAAGGGAAGATATGCTTCACCATATTTTTCTAGTCTTTGGCTTAGAATGAAGTTGGTTTGGAAACATATTCAGCGATGCTTCATCTCCTGCTTTGCGTTTCTGTGGGCGCCCCGTGCTAGCAGTGTCCAAACGTTTTGTTTTTTTCCCCTTTACATTCCGCACCCCCTGCAATGGCTCTGCGCCCCCCCCCCACTTTGGGAAGGTCTGCACTAGATGGTGATAATGTGCATACTTGGTTACTTTTGACTTGTTTCATTTGTTGTTTCAAATGAGAATTTTAGATTTGGATAAACTAAACAACTGCAAACTGTGATTATCAGTTTGAAAAAAAAATGCATGTTATTTGGATGTTCATCCTGATAGGACGTTCAGGATCACCCAAGCATCCCAACTCATCAGCAGTACATACACTAACAGTGTTTTGAACAATTTAATAAGTACTTTTTAATTATTCTGTGGAGTTGAGGATGGCAAACAAATTTCTTAGTTATTGGTGCGAGGTGACAGTGCTAAACATCACATCAACATGCTGTCCAAAATACAGACAAACGTCTGGAAATCAACTCACAAAAAAGTCCAGATGAGGATTCAGTTTCTCTTACTTGATCTGAAAAGTGATCCTTTATAAAACGGCTCAGGTACCTTATCCCTTTGCAGCTTTGCAGTCTAATGTGGCTTCAATACTTTTGAGACATACCTAGACTACTATCACAATAATTAGGTTTTTTTTATGACTTAATTTGGTACAGAAGTTGTTCTCTATTTGCTTGCTTGTCCTACCAAACACATCATCCAAGAAATAAAGCAGAAGAATATTGACCTTTCAGATTTCTTATTTAAATATCTACCAACACAAAAAGTATTCACAAGTTTAATTCATTTTCCCTCATTAGCTATACTGTATAATTTCAATTATACAAAGTAAATCTTAAGAATTTACTGCATACATAATCATTCTGTGGTAATGACTGCTCATCACATCTGCCTTGGACTTTCAATCTGTAAAATCTGATAGAAATGAAAGCTGGGATATGCATGGGAGTCACTTTATGGAGCTGTTTACCTCATCCCTTATTTCACTACAGAAACAAACATGACAAAACACCCTAAACACACTGTGGATATGCAATGTGAATAACATTTTTAAAATGTAACAAAATAAGAAAAGGTAATAAAGGCTTAAATGCGGGAATACAAACATATTGTGAGGTGGATCATTATTAATGTAAGTACTATCTATCCATCTGGTTCAACCTAACACAGCACATGAAAAATCTACCAGAAACACTTAATCCTGTTGGTTAAATGTTATTGTTACATCCAATCACCTTTTGCCCTCGTCATGAAAGAGAGCTGCTCTCTCTGTATTCCATGTTTGCCACACCTGAACAGCAATCTGCTCATTTGTGTACATGCATATCTAGCTCCAGCAGCAACACTGGGCTCTGTGTTTTGTGGTTGCAGGATTATTGCTGGTCAGTGTGAGCTTGACGTCATCTTGGAAAGTGATGGTTAACATGTGGAATCTGTCCTACTGTGGTCAGACTTGCTTGTATGTTAGTGGAAGATTAGCATAGTTCTTTGCCATTTTACTTATGTGAGTTTGCTCCTGTTTTGTGGACAGCCAGAGAGATTAGGCACTGTGTTTGTGTTTTTGCATGTTTTTGTTTCTTTGCTAGTAAAAACATTTCCACACACATGGAAGTAAATGAGGGCCATGGTTTATCTGACTCTTCTTATAATGGATGTACTTTTTGACATGTTGACATGAAGAAAGAAAAAACGAGATCCCAACGTAAGACATGGGAACATGTGCATAGTGCTTCCTGTTGCAGGACTGACCCCCAACGTCACAGCCACAGGTGTCAAACCTGCTCTTTAGGGCTTAACAGCTTTAAATCATTTAGTTAAAAAAGTATCAGCCCTCTGAGATGTCACTAGTTCCTGCCTAACTGGCTTCAGGGGTATTTCAGCAGACACATATGGGTTACACAAACAAAGTTCAACAGCTTCAAATTTCATTTGGGGCTGGAGGTTAAACTGGCCTTAAAACTTTTTTTTAACATTTATTTTTAAGCTATGTTTTTCCAGACATCTTTTTGACGTACATATTTATGAGGTAGTTTAAAAAAAAAAAATTATGTTGACAACAGGAAATGTCATATTAAAATTAAATTATCTGGCTTCCCCTCTTTCCTGAAAAAAACCCCCCAAAAAACAAATTCCTGTTTCTGTGTAGCTAATGCAAATATAAATACAGAGACTGTATTGTGAGATAACATGAAAGTTGTTTTTTCAGTCGAATAGAAAGCAAATGTGTGCTTTTCACTTTTTAAAGAACAGCATGTAAGTTCAACATACCAGGACATAAAAAAAAATCATCTGATCAGTTTTAAATTAAGTAAATACAGCCTAAGATGATAAACAACACATCAGATATTACTCTGTGTTATTATTTATTTTATAAAAACTAAACCAAAATGCAGAAGAAAACTAGGTACACTGTTTCCTCTGTTATATAGGAAATAACAGCGTAAGAAGCAGCCAGGTTCTGCTAATGCACTTGATTACAGCCAGTGTCTTTTCTGATCATCAGATAATCTTAGGGAACATGTTGTTGCTGCCTGTCAGTCTGTGAATGGTTACAGAACAATTTTATATTTCAAGTCAGTTTTTCTACAGTGAGAAAAGATATTGACACATGGAAAGCAAGACAGCAGCCAATCTCTCTAGGAGTGGACATCCCAAAAATTCACAAAGGAGGCTTAGACTGTCCAAACTGCATCTCGCCAAACCAAAAGACTTCTGGATCAGACTGCATCATATTACTAAAATGCATCATTGCACTTCATGAAATGCAGTGAGGACTTGGAAAGCCTCCGTTTTCCCAGTCCTCACTGCTACGCAAAAATGCTTTTTTAAAAAATTATCCACTTTGGAGAGCGTTTTCAAAAAGTTCAGTTTTCCTTGACCACAAAAGGTGTCTCAGTGTGGACGGAAGGCCAGAATGGAGAGTGGACATGGCCACAAACTATTTTCATAGCACTCTGTCTTATAGTTCTCAGAGGTAACACCATTTACCACTTGGATGTTAGTACTTTGTACGAGCTAGAGTTGTTAGCCCCAAGCTCCAACCTGCAGGCCCCAGATGTCTGACCTCTAACACTTGCTGCCACATGTCCATTCACGGCCTTTGTGTGGTAGCAGTAACAGGAGTAGTAGCAATGGTAGTTGTACTAGTATTGTGCAACACGCATGCAAGCAGGCTGTCATACTCGTAATTGAAATTTAGAAATTTTGATAAGTAAAATGTCATCATAAAAAGAGTTTAAAGCTCAATTTGGCATAGACACAGACTTTATTAATCACCCAGCAGGGACATTCACAGTTACAGCAGTACATGGGTCAGGAAGAGAAAGTGAATCAGAAATATAATATAAAAATAAACAAATTACAAAAATAGTGCACAAATTTAAAATTAGCCAAACAACCTATACAAGAGTAATTACTACTTATCTATAAATGACTGTTATATATAACAAATACACTCCATGTCAGTATAAAGCTGAGTGTCATTCCTGATCAGTTGATGCAAGACTTATAAATTAAAGCTGTCTGCAAATAATAAGCAACCAGTTCGTTCAAAAAGTAGCACAAACAAAGAAATGACTCAAAATTTATAACTGGAACTCATCTGATATTCCAGCAGACAATAATTAAAAGTTTTTTCTGCCTCCATAGATTAAGAATTTTATGTTTAATTATTTTACAAGACCTGTGACTTCAAAGTATGTGCATTCAAATTTCGGAACAGGCTCAACATTGTTGTTTTTTATTGGATTTTACTTTGCTGCTTTACTTTGAGCAGTCTGGTTTTCTTTTCTTTTTTGTTTTTTTTACATTTTGTCTTGTGAGTGTGTATTTTTCTAAAGAAATCTGCATCAGTTTGATTTCATTAACACAAACTTTGTATGCAGTTTACAACAGAGGTAAAGTGATCTAAACACACCAGAATCAAACAGCTAGGAACACAACTAAATGTACTAAAGAACAAACCAAAAAAA